AATTAAATTATAGACTCTTAAATGATATGACAAGAATCTATTCAGTATACATGTAATAATTTATCTCTACACTCAAGAGATGATTAATAAAATCTTTATGATTGCAGGATAACTTTGTCCGTGCAATTCTAAAAAAAATATAACACTTGCTATTACCAATATAATTGTATGTTGGTATGTTAGAAAAATACATACATGAAAGGCTGAGTCCTGCTATATTACCAAGAAAATAAATTACCCTTACAGAAAATACTAATTTCAAGTGAATTTAGTCAGAATACCTTTTTCTGACATTTTTGTATATAGTAATAACTGATACCTCACCAGTTACATAAAAAAATGTTTATTATTATTAGTTATATTCAGAACCTTTCCTGAATAAAAACTAACAATGAAATACAGTTTATACCTTACATAAACTGTTTTGTTTATTATAATTTCCAGACCTTTAGGAAATTATCCCTTAATTGCCAAATGTTTTCCTATTTAATTGTATTTATTAAAAAAATAAGACAAACGTTAACAGTAAATGTGAACTACAATTTTAAATTTAAATGTACAATAACATTAATCCTAACTTTAAAAGATAAACTTGAAATTAAGCTTTGCCAGCAATAATACAATAATTAACCCAAAAGATATTTTAAAACAGTTTTAAGAACTTTCCTAAATTTACTAAAAGAATAAAATACTTTAAGCAAAAGATCAAAAATGTAGGATTCTAAGAGTCCGCTAAAAATGAAATATTCCTTTCTAACTTAGAAAACGCTAAATTTACTATTTTTCCTTTACAATTTAACCCCCCAAAAAAATGAAGTTTGTGAGAAAAATTAACCATTTTGACAAAAATTACTGATGAGCGAAATAAAATACTAACTGTAACGACCAAAGATTTAAGCAGAACCTGGGAACAGTATATCTAACTAAGTATATATCAATATATATGTTCCTTAGGATTAGAACAATGGCTCTAGAAACTTTTAAGATTATAAATAATATAGCTCCTGTGTGCTTACAAAATTTGGTGAGTGTCAAAAAATCTAAGTATTCTTTCCGGTATGTAAATATTCTAGATGTTCCACAGGTAAAGTCAACCCGTTACGGTAAAAAATCTTTCAAATTTGCTGCTGCTACTTTATGGAACAGCCTTCCAAACCATTTCAGGACTGAAAATAGTTATTCACATTTTAAAAGTCTTGTTCAGTCCTGGAATGGTTTGGAATGTCGATGTTCTGCTTGCAGATAATTCTTGAGATGTTTATTATTTATGTTGCTTTTGTTTGCTCTGGTCTAGCATGTTTTATTTCATTTTAAATTTGTTGCTAAATTTTTATTGCATGCTATGTAAGTGATATTTAACTTCGTATAACAGGTTGTTTTATATGTCAAATTAGACTGTTTTTATGTTATGTATATGTTTTTATATTCGGTCAAAAGCTCCTTAGAGCTTGTGTTGTGTCTTTTAACTTATGCCGAATCAAAATAAAGTTTTCTTATCTTATCTTATCCTGGCAGAACTGACGAACAAGCGTCGAAATTACGTCAATGTTGGATTGTTGGCAAAGTTGGAAAATTGTTGGATCGCGCGCTTGCTGTCCAACGAAATATTTGAATTCTCAAATAAATTACAAAAATCATAATAATATACAATTTTAGTAACAGTCATATAATAAACAAATTTTGCATGGTACTAAACAAATTTCTACAGTAGCTAAAAATACACCAATCAAACTTCACCGGAAGTCACAATACGTAAACAACATTGCCAAAAGTTATGTGTGTCACCGGCTAACCAAAATGACAAATATCAAGGATAGTGAGCATTAACATCTGCAAAACATTGAAGACGTTGACTACAAATACTAAAAGGAATTACAAAGAGTATTTGAAAACAGTTGCCGAAACGTAAAAATAGTGTTTTTATTGAAAAATCGTCCCAAGTGACACATGGGTTCCACTGCGCATGTCAGTACATTTCATTCATAAAATTCAAGCAAGGTGCGTGGATTTACTACGAGATTTACTACGATCTACTACAGTTGCTACAATTGGATCATCACAAAAATACAAGACATTCAGTGGATTATTACTATGAACTGGTAAATTATAACATGAACTTCAAATAGTTTATCAAATATTCAAATGTCGTGAAATGACAGTAATTCAATATTTCTAGAAAATCATAATATTGTAATTGTTCTAACTTTACTTAATTAAATGTTAATTAAAACTTATTTGCTTCAATTATGAATATGTTTCAGACTACAATCATTACAAGTAATATAGTACAAGTTATTTCACACAGTTACTGTTTCCTACATAATAAGACTTTCATAAAAAAATACAGAATATTAAACAATATGCTTTATTAATACCAATTAAAACATACATCAAAAATATCTTCTCCCTGTCTATGTAAACTTACATGTACATCACACATGTCACAATAAAATACATGTACCTTAGTCTTCGTACTCTACATATATGTCAGTCGTGCAGGTTTTATTTGACCTCGACCTCATTTTCACGGTTCATTGCTCAGTGTTAAGTTTTTGTGTATTGGTCTATTTTTCTTAAACTATAAGTTATAGGTCAACTATATTTGTTGTATGGAAGCATTGTTAGCTGTACATGTCTGCCTTGCATTGTTCATCTGACATTGACCTCATTTTCATGGTTCATTGGTCTTTGTTTAGTTATCTTGGTTAATGTTAAGTTTATATGACAGTTTTTAATAAAGCTTTATACTTAGGACTATCAACATAATATCAATTATAAGCAAAGAAGGCGAGACATTTCAGTGTGTGCACTCTTGTTTAAACAGAGAACTTAGCGAACATCCTTTGATTTCTCCTTAAAAAGCTTCACTGAAGAAAATTAACAGCAAAACTTTATTTAGTAGGTAAGTATATCTATATCTATAACACATCACGGCGAACTTAAAACTAATTATTTTATTATTAATCAACAAATTCATACTTTTATTTGTCATGACACACTGAAGTATACAAAGAAGTAGAACATTTTGTTTGAACACATAACTGTGCTGTAATGTCATAATTCGATTAAAAAAGGAGTAGGTTCTTTGTGAGAATACATTAAAATAATAATATTTTCTTATGGTTAAACAATTTTAATTTGTACATAAATGTTTTTGGACAATGAAATATGTTTAAACTATATTTATAGAAGGTATAGAAGCTATTGAAACATAAAGCGTATGATGAAAAAATATATAGTACTATCATTCAATACCATTTTTTAAAAAGGGCAATTTTGATATGTTTTGAAAAAATAATATGTTTATTTCATCCCGTTAAGGCGTTTGCTATTTGTAACATATATATACATAGAGAATTTGAGTCACTATTTTTGAGGTTATTTTTTCTTCTTTGTTTTGTAAACGCAATATGGTATCATTCCTGTAATGACATCATTTTAAAGTTACTTCATGAAGATTTATGTTAGCTAAAAATGTGCTTGATCAGCAACTGGGCATGTGTTAATAATCCAATTATTATCAAATTACTTTTTGTGAAACAGCGTCGAGTATAAAAGCTAATAATTTAGTTATTGTTAAATCTTTTCTTGCAACTTATGAATTAGAGTGTTGCAAGTGTGATTGCGCAATTTCAACACGAAAGATATGCCGACGTATAAACATTGGAAGATTCAACTTATTAATGAAATTGAACTTCATCTGTTTTTAGATTCAAAAGATGTTGGGCAGTACTTTGCAGGTACGTTTTATATGGTAAAATAAGTATGTTCAGTTTTAAACTTTTAATTTCGTTTTTGGAGCAGCGCAAATTGAAAGCGCAAATACTTTCGAAAGATTTTTTAAACAAAAAGAAAACTATTCAGCATTTCAAATACACAGTATTACGAAGATGTTGTTCTAAAAGTAAACGATTATAACATGATTTTATTTTCAAATTTAGCAATTTAATTGTGTTTTTTTAACATGCATAAAGTCAATTCTTTTGAACTCATTACAGGAAAGTTAAAAATGTCAAAGCACATGCTATTTGGGAATGGACCCACTTTTTCCGTAAAATAAAAATATTTATTCCATATCGGTATCATTTTAGAAGGTTTCTCTATTTGATTTTTAAATTTATAACATTTTTTCACCGGGTATAGAGACGAGCACAGTGTTTATCGTCAGGGTGATTTTTACATGTAATGTTTTAGTAAAATGATTGATGTACAAATATTTTGTTTTTTAAAATATTTGTCATAACAAATATTGTTTTCTCTCGGAATATGTAATAAAAGAGTTACTGTCTTTTGCTTTGATAAATATGTGGTTGAATTTTGAAAATAATATAAACTTCGGCCGTTGGTCTCAGTGAACATCAGTTTTTCAAAAGTCAATAAAACAACATATTTACAACACCAAAAGACAGTAAATGTACATATCCACTGTTATTATAATATCGTATTGACAAAACAAAGAGCACTTTATACAATAAGTGAAAATAAGATGAAATAATATATTTTGGAATTTGTTGTGAAAAAAAAAATAATAGAGAAGGGTCTTTCCCCCTAGAGCATGTGAAACAATGTGCAAATGGCAAACAAAATTACGGTCTCCCTTTTGAGAGGCGTCTAGTTAAATGTAAATACGTGTTATTTCTTCACAATCGAAATTGTTTTGTTGTTTTGCACGTAATGAATGTGCATCTGTGATCATCTGTGGAGCGAACCCCATTTTTATACCAACCGTAATCTTGATTAACAGTCGGATTATAAAATATTTAACAGAAAAGCTGAAAACAAACGTCATAAACAGTTACTATAGTCAGAAACATATTACATATGTCTCTGCTATAGTCAATAAAATCGAACTTCACAACGTCCACTGATGAGGGGGGGGGGGTTGGGATCCCACTAACATGTTTAACCCCGCCACATTATTTATGTATGTACCTGTCCCAAGTCAGGAGCCTGTAATTCAGTGGTTTTCGTTTGTTTTATGTGTTACATATTTGTTTTTCGTTCATTTTTTTTACATAAATAAGGCCGTTAGTTTTCTCGTTTGAATTGTTTTACATTGTCTTATCGGGGCCTTTTATAGCTGACTATGCGGTATGGGCTTTGCTCATTGTTGAAGGCCGTACGGTGACCTATAGTTGTTAATGTTTGTGTCATTTTGTCTTTTGTGGATAGTTGTCTCATAGGCAATCATACCACATTTTCTTTTTTTTTTATTCACTGATATTTAAAGTGGGGTTAGTTGGCATGTTTAAGATCGTAAATTTAAGTTCATCGTCTATTTCTTTAGTATTTTTCATACTTGGTGGGATGAAATCGCAGACCATTATTCAGTGGTATTTTAATCCTTTTCATAAGTTTTGGGTGCCGGGTGCATTTTAGAAAGTGGGCGAGTTGGTGAAAAAGTGGGGCGAATCGGTGTGGGGCGAGTCATCATAGTATACAAAAAGGATCAGAAAGTTGGTTTCTCTCCCCCGAACTATTATAGTGTTCTATAACTACAGATGCTCGTTGCTCGGTGAAATCTAAATGTATTTCATCTTCAAAAGACGACCTGTCACTGTCTTAAGTACTATATTTGTGCTAATTTATGTTTTAAATATGTTAACACAAGCTTGTACTCTGAGTGTTACTCAGGTCAATCTTCCGTTTTTTGCTCCTGAGTCCTGGTCAGGTTGTCTCGGACTCTCCTTGACACATTCCCAGTTGATAATCTTTGGACTTCTATTCTGTATTTCTGGAGATTATTTAAATGAATTGCCGTTTACTATATAGAAGGCAGAACAGAGACCAGGGCCGTGAGGGGCGGATCCAGCTATTTAAAAAAGGGGGTGTTTCAACCACATGTCCCCATTCAACATGTTCAAATCATGCATTGATCGTCTAAAAAGGGGGTTCCAACCCCAAGAACCCCCTCCCCTGGATCCGCCACTGTAAACATGTTGCAGTTAAGTACAATTTCCAACATCCAATGGATTTAGTGTAAAGAGGTAATAAACAGTGACAAAGAAAAACATGACCTTGTGCAATGCCAAAATACCGAGCAAAATACAGGTATGAACAGATTGTAGATCTATGAATGTATATATGTATACAACAATAATATTTAGTCTCCTTTTAATTTACTGATAACAAAATCAATATTATACCAATAAGACATTATTCAATGATCTAATCATTGTGTTGAATTGATAACCTTTTTTCTCTAATTCTTCGTCAATTTATCCCTTTCTGCACCCATTGTATAAAAAGAATTTAATCAACATGTGGTTCGTTTGATCTTAGAACTTCATTGGTTAACATGGTTAAAATCCGATTATGACATGTATGACGTCGAAATTTCTTGCTTTCCTCTGAAATTCCTATTGTGACGGCATGAAAAAAGGCGACCATGCCTGATGACGTCACATAGAAAGAACACATCTTTTTGCAGATCATTCGAAAACAAGGAATAAGTTTACCTGCATAATGTTAGAAAATCATTAGAGAAACAGATTCCACCACCATTGGCACCAAATCTCGTGTAATACCTCGCGTTTTTAATTTGAAAATTTAACTGTCTCGAGTGGATAAATATCGTATTACACTCGATGCAGTGGTAGAATCTATATATACATGTAATATAACAGTGTTAAAAGTATTTTTTTAAAGAATAATGTTTTCTTATCATGTCAATAAAAATAATGTTATTTTGATTTATAACACATATATTTTAAATTTCAGATCAGTCTCTTACTAATTTACAAACACATGTACAGCATATAACATGTATATCAGAATGTACAGACGATATAAAGAAAATACAGGTACATTTTATATTGACAATTTTGATTTTAAAGAAAACCACTCACTAATTTGTCATCGTGAAATATGATCATGATGTACTGTTTTCAAAAACAAAATTCTCCATTAAAATGTGCATGTCTTAATGCTTCTTAAATTAAGAAATAACTATTTAAGCACATCTGCTAGGCCAAGTATTCATTATGATTATTTTTTTTATGAAAATCAGTCTTTGGTTTTTATTTTAAAGATTGAGCTAAAGTGTTAATTGCAGGACTGTACGGCAAAGTAAGGTTTATATACAATAAACAGTTGGATAATAAGATTAAAATTGAACCAAAAAGTTTGTGTGACGAAAAGTTTTCATAAAATGCACAGGGGCCATAATGTGAAACTACACACCTAATTGTGTATTGCTACCTCAGATCTACAGATATAAGTCAAATGACTGAAACTCACCCTTATATTAGAGTTTTTGCCTTTAAAAGATGATTTTAAGCTAATTTCTTAGTTTGATTTACCAAAAATCTGTAATGGATAGAAACATATGATGGAAATTTAAACATATATACCATGTATACAAGTATCAATATTCTATAGATATGTAAAACTATGCTATCATTATTTTACTCATAGTTGAAGGCTGTACAGTGACATATAGCCTTTAATTTCTGTGTCATTTAGTCTCTTGTAGAAGTTTATTTCATTGGCAATCATACCACAACTTCTTATTTTTATTATATTGATGAAAGATAATAGAAATAACAGGTGAGCAAATTCAGGCTCTTGTGATCATCCTGTTATTTATTTTCATGAGTAGGCATTAACAGTAAACTGATTAAATTAGCCATTTACAATATGATTTTAGGTGAATTTTGGGACATCAGTATTAAAGATTAATAAAAAGAAATTCACAGGAACAACTTTGTTTGGTCTCATGATAAATGATACAAAGAAACTGCTGAAGTTCTGGCTCGACACTGGAGAATTCTTAAAAGACAGGTTATTATAATTATTATTATTTTGATATATATATAATCTCTTAAAATAAATAATTGTGCGCACCATTCTTTGACAATGAAGAAGTTGACTCCTAATTTTTAGTCTTTTAACAAGAAACAAATTATAAGGGCTTCAAGCATCCATCTGTGCTTCCAAGTTTATGTTACAAATCATGTCTTGTCTGTAACACTGCAACTGCTAACCAGAACACAATTAAAGTTGCTATGCTGTTCTAGATTTAATAGATTACCATGTCCAGCTGTGACATCCAGTGTTAGAATTTTCAAAATAGCCATCATGCTCATGTTGACTGCTTAAACAAACTCAATTTATCTTTCAAATCTTATGTTAGAAAAAATAAAGTCTGTCAAATCTTATGTCAGAAAAAATAAAGTCTATCAAGTCTTATGTTAGAAACAATAAAGTCTGTCAAATCTAATATCAGAAACATAATATTTAAGGCTTTGTTTATATAAAGGACGATGCTTATAATTTTTTTTGGTCGAATTGTGTTTATCTTTATTAGTAAAGCATGTATTAAAAACCAGAGGTTCATTGCTTATGACTTTTGCCTAACATGCTTATGGGAGTTGTTTCACTTTCTTATATGGAATCTGCCATATAGTATTCGTCTAAATAATAGCCCAACAATGTTAGATCTGTAAATTAGTGGAAGCAAATTTTTGTTCTTCCTTGGCTGGGATTCCAATTCATGCTACTGAGATACCGTGGCACCAAACTGCAATGGTCTATGCCTGGTGGTCTAGACCACTTGACCACCTAAGCTTGACAAAAATGAACCATTTGGTGGAAGGGTGTTACTTTTCCTTGTCATTTACATCTGGTAACCAAAAGCTTGATTTTTGCACTTAAAAGGCTGAACATGCATGATATATTTATATTCAATATGAATATTCACATTTTGTCTATTAAAACATCAAATTGTTCAAAAAATGTTTTCCATAGTTTCCTACTGGTTTCACTGTTTCACAGTTATCCATGTTTTTGGTGTATTTCAGCCTTATTTGTTTCCTATATATGTCTGAGTGTGTTTTAGGGAAAGATATGTTCAAGAATCTTCTTCTAGTGGTGAGCAATCAGAAGGAGAGGATGAGTATTACAATGAGCCGGTCCAGAACATTGATAACCTTTCAAATGAAGACAACCCCTTTGTTACACAACTGTCACAAATTTTACCAGAAAGAGCTATCAGTATAAAACATTTGGATGTTCAACATGCTGAAGACAATTTTTCTCAAGAATCAAAAAAAAAAGGATGAAAGCTTAACTGATGAGTCCACAATGCAAGGTTGAACAGAAGACAGTTGATGAAAAGTATTAGTTTAAAGGCAATTGGGTTCAAATTCCTAGACATATTTAATTTAAAAGATCCACCAAAAAGGTTCAAAGTCAGAGAAGCTGATGAAAACTTTGTTGAAAAAATAGCGAAAGTAATGGTTGAAAAAAATTCTGTAAGTGTTGATAATGCTCCAAATATAATTGGCCTTATTGACATAAAAAATAAGGTTGATTACAAAGAAGAAAATTTTTCTAAATATGAGGTATATATAGTGGATGGGAACCACAGTATTAAAGCACAAAAAGAGGCATACATACAGACAAAAGACGAACTGTTCAGGCATCGTGGAGTTTTCATATACTGTGGTTTAACAGAAAATGAAGCAATTCTGCTTGGAATCAGCAGAAATGAGGACACTGAATCGTTTGTGAAGTTCTCTGATTTTCAGAAGGTTGATGTACTGAGGCGTCGATTGTATTCCATGACAGGCACACCAGCCCACGCTGATCCACCTACAGTTCCTAAAGAATTTAAGGATGTATTTATCACTCTACTTAACTTGCAAGGTGTAAGTAACAGTTAATTGCATCTATATAGATCTTTTAAAAGTTGAAGTAAGAAATGTGAATGGATCTGGTTTATGTGCATGCAGAAAATCTTTATGCTCTATTTGACCAAACAAAGTTGATGGGGAAATGTTAACAATTGAAGTAATCTGCCTTAAAAGAAATCAACAAAATTGTCTAAAATCAAGCCAAATCAAATCAAAGTTTTAAACTTTAAACATAAAACTACTCAATACATGCAATACTACATACAGGCAAGACAAATCTCTCTGTCATCAGATTTTCAATCAAAAACAACACCAATTTAAACAAGTATCACAAGTTGAAATTTTTGTAGGTTACAATTTTTGTCCAGAACATTTTTTAGAAAGCATGAGTCTATAATTTATATTACTATTTAAAATTACATGTAACCTAGTCAGTAAACAATTTATGTTTATATTATAAGATTATGTTTGCTTAAACATACTTGTCTTATAGTTGACACTTTTTTTTATATTTGATCAGAAAAAAAATAATTAGCAATTCCTGCATGTGTCTGCTTTACCTATAGATGTTTAACATTGTGTATCTTAGAAGAATAGTGAACATCGTGAAGGTATCAACTGAAAACTTAAAATGTTTCAAATTTTGTTCTGTTTTGTTTAAAAAAAAAGGTGACTACTCTACTGAAGTCTGCTCCATAAATCATGCATGGTACCCAGGAAGGTACTTTCAAAATGGAGTAAACATCTGAAGAAGCAATTTTATAATTTTTTAGCATTTAACTGTATGAAAACACTCACCAATATTTAAATTCTGAAGTGCCTTCTCCATGCATGAATTTACGAAACTGCCATGAGAAAAAATTATATATGAAATCATTTGTAATTAACTACAATGACTGTTCTGTATTTTCACAGAAAAAAGCAGTAGACAGCAAAAGCATGCTGAGGTTCCTTGCAACTGGACTTTCCTATCAATGCTATGAACTGTTTAAGAATATATGCTCAAAAAGCACTGGAAAGGTTCCGGCATCAAAATTTGATGGAATAAAGGGTTTGAAGGAAGAAGATGCATTATTTTGTCTCATCAATCTCTCAAGTAGCAACCTTCAAAGAAAAGATTGGCAGAAATTTAACTACTTGTGTCAAAGCAAGCAATCAAAGCCAAAAAAGGTATTTTTTAAAACTTTAGAATGTAGTAAGATGCAGCATAGTTTATGCATAACGAATTATTTCAGTAAACCTGTACATGCAGTCTACATTTCTAGGGAAAAAAGGACAGGATTAGGGTTAATACAATAATTGGAACAAATCTGTCATCATCTGTGAAACAAAAATTCAATAACGGTCAATTAACTCTTGATGGCATCCATACAATTTACAACAGAATAATTCCAACTTCACCATTTTGAACTCTTAGTTAAATAGTGCAGCAACTCATGATAGGAAAAACAAGCCCGGGAATATTATATCAACTAGGAGATATATGCTCCATATGCATGCTGGAATGTTTTCTACGTAAGTAAAGGCCTGTACCAAGTCAGGAATATGACATTTTTATTCATTTATTTGATGTGTTTGAGCTTTTGATTTTGCCATTTAATTGGGGACTTTCCGTTTTGAATTTTCCTGGGAGCTCAGTATTTTTGTGATTTTACTTTTTGCTACATAGAAAAGGAAAGTTTGCAATTAAATTGAGTATGATCTATTGGTGTGTATATTGTTAATGATCCCTAAACCTGAAATAGAATACTAACAACAGATTAAAATTATGTTAAACATTCAATTTTTAGTTTATGTCTGTCATTTTTTCAGTTGAGGAAAGATGTAACACTAAATATAAAGTTCCAAACAAAGTGTACTCAGGGTTTTGTTGGACAGAAACAACTTGCAGGGAATTACACCTGGTTTCATTTCACTGATTGTAATAACAAGCAGATTATCTTAACTGATAAAGAAATGGAAAGGCTGGTGTTTTGTAAGTTTTTTCTTTATTTTTTTAAATATTTGTTTTTGTTTTTTAATGATAAGTAGTTTTAAACACTTTCCAAATGCTACTGATTTTCTGGACAAAACTTTGGCAATTAGGTCCTTTAATATGGTACAATTTTTCAATCGAAAATCAGGCGAACTCCAAATATGTCTCCTTTTCTGCATATTCATTGAAAAAAATAAAATACGAAAGTTTTGTATTTTTTTTCTATAAGAATCATTTGTTGAATAATACTTTTCTTCAATTTAAATATGTTCCGGACCATATGAGTATTTGGACCATACACGTATGGTCATGACCATATGCGTATACTCATATGGTCCGACCGTACGCGTATGGTCGGACCATATGAGTATATACTCGTATGGTTATTAACGGCCCGGACCATATGAGTATTTTGACCATATAGGTATTTTTTTCAAATATGCATCACACCGTTTCAATAATACAATAAACTTTATCTAAAAAAACAATTATGGTAACATAACAATGTATTAATTCAAAGGCTACGTTAAAATTAAATATTGATGCCAAAGTTAATTTTCATCGTTTATTACATTCTTGCATGTAGGCTTATTGTAACATTTACTTCCACACGCGCGGTAACATAACTTTATTCGAATTTGCACGTCATGGCTGTGCATGATCCTAATCAGTTACACCTTTTGTTTGCAAATGAAAAGATAGCCTTCTTTGCAGCTGCATGCAGTGATGCAGAGGTTTTGGGTTATTCCGATGTGTCTACGGTGTTTATGAAGCTCTAGATTTCAAATATCGTAATATGACTACGGTACACCATATTCACAAAACAACGTAAATAAAATATGTTCTTTGGAAGTGACTTCTTTTGTAACAGTTTATTGAGCAATTTTTGGAAGTTATCTTTTCAAGTCGACATATTGCTATTTACTCGTAATAACAAATCGGTAATGGACATGGGTATAAAATGTTTTATTATATACTGAAAGACTTTAGAAACGCAACACTCATTTTGTTGATTTTTTTTACCAAATCTTGTTTGATTTTCTTACAACTACTTTGCATGCTTATCATACTTCTTTTTCCGTACAAAAAAAATCAAAATCTGACTTACCTGTGGTTATTGAACATACCGAATTTTTGAAGTCGCACGAATTTTCTTAAAGCAAAATTTTGGACCCATGAAAGATTGTTTCATTTTTTTTGCTTTGTGAAGCAGTCCTTTCAATCCTTTGCCTCACTTAAACCAGCTTAAAAATGTTGCATCTCCATGTTGCCAAGACTGAGAAACAAAAAACTGAATTAGCCCTTAAGAATACTGCAAACATTAAAACATAAGCGTGCTGCAACCATACTGTATGACTTCAGAAACTCGTCTTACTGTCCTTCCGACAACGATACAAGTAGACAAGATTAGTTGCTGGCCATCAATGAACAGATAAACGTTTAGTGACAATGACATGTCTACAGAATTTGATTACGCAACGTCATTTGCCAGACATGTTAACGGTCGCAACGTCAACTGCTAATCAAATTGCCGAGTGCCATTGAATACACCATAAATGTTTACCATCAACTGATTTGCCAAAGAGTCGACTGAAGGAAAACCTTAAAAGCCCTCAAGTTCCAACCGCATAATTGCCAAAACCAATTAATGGGTTGAACAAATGCAAAACCAGATGATGTAGAAGAGAACCCGAAACATGTCAGACAGAATTTGTTGACCATTCTGACAATTATTTTGGCTTTTGTAACATGCAGTCATCGCTTTTGACAGGGACACATTCATTAAAAAATAACACAAATATAATCTTGTGTTGCGTTTCTAAAGTCGGTCAGTATAGTTTTGACTAGGTAGTAAAATTAACGATGTGAAACTTCTAATTTTTATTCAGTTAATCTCTTTATTATGATATGATAATAAAATTACCTATATGATAGCGTATTTTTAAGGAACGGTCATACCATATGAAGAGTTTAGAAGTACTCAAAGTAGCCTGAAACAGAGTGTTAATTACCCCGACCATACGCGTACGGTCAGACCATACGCGTACGGTCAGACCATACGCGTATGGTCGGACCATATGAGTATATACCCATATGGTCATGACCATACGCGTATGGTCCAAATACTCATATGGTCCGGAACAAATACACAACATGTGCAGTGTAAAAGATCTGATTTTGTCCACTGTATTTATACATGCTGCTGATTGCTGCTAGACAATTAAATGATTGGCCATTCAAATTTTATTCTAGTGTTAGTACTGCTTTTTTTGTACTTCCTGTGTTATCTCTTCTGCTGCATGTCATTATTTCTTTATAATAAAAATTGAAATATAAATCTCTGACCTAAAACATTGGCATATAGATCTATGACATAGAGCATTGGCATATAGATCTGTGGCATAGAGCATTGGCATATAGATCTATGACATAGAGCATTGGCATATAGATCTATGACATAGAGCATTGGCATATAGATCTGTGGCATAAAGAAATATCGACATATTTAGAACTATAGCCTAAAGCATTGACATATTGATCTATGACATCTTTTAACAGTTAATTGGAATTGATTGATTATCATTATCTTATTTTTTTCAGCATCAAAAGACAAGAGGCTTCCTATTTCTTCAACTCCAAATTTGGATGGTAAGTTTTATTAACAAGAGAAAACAATGAAAAGACATTTTTTTTTTTAAATCAGTTTTTTTTCTTACAATTCCATATTAACCCTAAAAAATTGATATAATACTGATGGCTGTATTTTTGTTCAGCTAAGATTTAGGGAAAGACAAGAGAATAATGATTATTTGATAGATCTTTTATATTTACCGTTGTTCCTCTGTAAGTCTGTCTGTCCCAAAAGTTATTTCAGTTCTTTAACTTTTAAGTTTTCTTCAACCAAATGCAGACAAAGTTTGATATTTGGTGGGGTCTTTTTTGCTGTTCTTGTGTTATGTTCCATTGTAAATACTAAATTGCAGAGTTTGCTGTAATTATAAGTGGGAGCATGGAAACATTTTTATTTAATTTTTAATTTTGAGTATATGAACAATTAGTAATTAAAAGAAATGTAATGTGCTTTTCAGATGAACAAGATTTTTTGGATAGATTCTCATCTCAAAGAAGCAGTGGTAAATTTTGTGATTAGAATAGATAACAAGCAACCAGAGTAAGGGTTATAGCAATAAACAGAAGAAAAAAAAACCCAGTTTTTGTAGATGGCATCCAATGAAATTCACTGGATTACAGGCTCTTGAATTCCGGAGAGGCACTTAAACAATGTGACAGGGTTTAACATGTTTGTAAGCACTTGACACCCCTCCTAACTTGGTGTAACGTTGAAAGGATAGAACAAACTCATTAACAATCAGTTGAAAAGAATCACATCAGTATTCAAAAAAGTTTGTTCTCATTGCTACCTAATTATATGTAAAATTGATCTCTATTGGGAGGATTCACTTTCTTAACAGAATAATATGTTAACTGTTCATTGAATATTAAAGAAATAGAGAGATTTGAACACACCAAAAATGTTGATTGCAGAAATGTGCCATATCATATATTGCTGCTAAATGATTAATCTCCTTCATTAAAATGAAATCCTTAGTAATTTAAAAAAAAAAGTTTGTTTGCATATCTTTTTACTTGTTATTTTAAAAACATAGGTTTTTTTTTTCTTCAGACCTTGATTCACATGATTCAACAGATCAATTTTTGACAGGAGCAGAATGTGGTAAGTTTTGTCTCACTTACAATAAATGTCACTGAAGTCAAACTATGGCATGCTGATATTGTTATCTGTCGTTGGCTTTTCAACAGTTGTGAAAATTTGCAGTAAGTCAATTTAAGGAGTATATCACTAAATGTAAGTCAATATATGATATGCATTTTTCTTAGGTTGGCATATATCATTTCCCTGTAGATGCCATCCCAAGTTGTAATACATTGTACTTCTAAAATTTACTTTGAAACTTTTGAACAGTATATTTATAAAATAAAGAAGATGTGGTATGATGGCTAATGAGACAATTCTCCACAAGAAACCAAATGACACAGAAATTAACAGCTATATGTCACTGTACAACCTTCAACAATGAGCAAAGCGCATATCGTATAATCAGCTATAAAAAAAAAATCACAAAATTACAAATGTAAAATAATCAAAACTAGAATACTAACTGCCTAATTAATGTAAAAAAACATTGAACAGAATGTGGTGGGGTTTAATATGTTAGTCCGATCCCATTCCTCCCCCTAACCGGGGACAGTGGTGTAACAGTGCAACATAAAAATGAACTATAAAAATGATTTGTCAGTTGGTGGTTATAGACACGTTTATATACTGAAATATGTTCTATTTTAGCAGCTACAACTTCACTTCCGGGAACTACAAGTTTTTCATCTAATGGTATGTAAGACAATATACTATTTTCATATTACCGACTTTTGACTGGTTTATATTATTGTTCGACAGGTTACCTACGACATCCAAGTACTCGGTCAATTAAGATAAAAGTAAGGAAGTAACATCAAACATTAGATCTGTACAATTCTTAGGGGAAATATACTGCTTTATATTCTCTTTACACGACAAACTCATTGGTAAATAGTAAAATTTCCCCTCAAACCACACCAATTAAATGTTTGATGTAACTTATTAACGTTGCTCTTAATCGACTGAGTACAAGGATGTCGTAGGTTATAAACAGTAATCAAGGACAACTTTTTGTTTTAATGTTTTAATGTTTTAATATTTATATACTGTTATTGTGTATTCTACCTGTACTCCTCTTTACACCCTTTAGAAAAAAAAATTCAGTATTAACACATTTCAAAACAGTTTGCAATTTTTTTTAAGTCTGCTATTTTATATTTCACTCTTATTTTTCAACATGCCTGGCCACGTAAATTGAAATACTTCATGAAGAAAACTGTTTTGTTCCAGGAAAGCCTTCTATTTTTCGTGCCCACACTTATCACCCAGTATATTAGCATTAATTTAGAGTTCCCAATATCAAATATAATCTTTTTGTATGTGATCAAGTTTACATGCATGTGTGAAATGTTCTAATTTTTAAATTTTTAAATATTAAAAACAGAGTAACAATTTCTTTTTTGATAAATGGGATTTTTAAACCCTATATTTTATTTTTACTTAGTCATCACTTTTTAGGAACACTTTATTTTTAGTGATTATGATAATTGTCGCACCTGAAACAAAGTTAGTAAGATAAGAACTGCTTCTCATTAAGTAAAGTTATTGTATATAAAGTTGAATTAATTAATTTAAAAGGTTGTGAGCTCTGTTTTTCTCTCTCTTTCTATAGGAGTCTATTGCTGTATTTTGAAGAAAAAAGACTTTCAATTAATGCAAAATTTTCAGTGATAAGTTTTCTGCTTAAGTAAGCTTGAAAGGAACTTCTTCTGAAAGATCAATGTTATTATCTAATAGTTGTATTACTATCAGTACATAGCAGTACACTATTCCAGGCCCTGCCCTTAGGTCATTGTAAAGTTTTCTGTCTTATAGTCATTTTGATAAGAGTAACTTTAGATACATCAATGATTTTTTTTGAATTTGCATGACTATTAGTACACATCAGATTGAAGATTATTTCAAGGCCATGCCATCAATTGAAGGTTCTTGTTAAGTGACTTTGAATTAAGTATAAATTTTCAGTGTAAAGTTTTCTGCTTTAGTCAGTTTGACAGGATCTTCTTGTGAAAGATCAATGATACTTTGTATAAAGTTGCATGTCTATCAGAAAATATCAGTTTTGCAATTTTTTTAGAGGCACTGCTGCTTAGTATATGGTCCACTGATTTTGAATGTTAAGTTTTCTTGTTAAGTCAGTTTGATAGGAACTACTGATAAAATAAATGATATTTTGCATAGTTTTAAGTGGTACATCTATTACTATGCATAGGCAGATCCATTACTGGATCATGACTGGAGCCCCCCCCCCCCCCCCCCCCCCTTTTAGGTCAGTCAGCAGGCCCCCTTACAAAAATTTCTGGATCCGCCACTGCTATCAGTACATATCAAAATGATGACTATGTTATGGCTCTGTCCTTAGTCATGGTACAGTGATTTTAATTAATAAGCAGTGATGCTGTCCATCAAATTTGCTGTATCTAAAATTCTGCAGACAGACAAGATGCAATGTTATTATTATTTTTTATGGAGAAACATTTCCTTATGACAGGCTTACAATATTATCCCTATTATTATACACAGTTCTGTAATTGCAGGTAGCAAAAGTTCCCTGGGTATATCATTTTCAATGAAACTAAGTGGTAAGTTTTGTAAAATTATTCTTGCAAGATTCACTTTTAAAAATATTACAGTTACACAACCATGGCTTTCTTTTCAATTGTGTGTAAAAAGTAAAATCACAAAAATACTGAACTTTGAGGAAGATCAATTCGGAAAGTCCATAATCACATGGCAAAATCAAATAACAAAACGCATCAAAAGCGAATGGACAAGAACTGTCATATTCCTGACTTGGTACAGACATTTTTAAATGGAGAAAATGGTGGATTAAACCTGGTTTTATAGTGCTAAACCTCTCACTTTGATGACAGTCTCATCAAATTCCCTTATATTTACAATGATGCGTTAACTAAACAGACACACAATCAATAAAATAGTCAAAATATGGGTACAGCAGTCATCCTCATGTAACAATTTTAAAAGGAACAATTTAACAGAACACAAAAACATCTATCTACAAACACATTCATTGATTTGCATGTCTGACGTCAGAAAATTTTATATGTCACATATATTTGTCTTCAATGTACATACAAACAATTTTAAAATTTCACATATGCAATGTTAGCATACAGGGTTAAAAAATCAAAAGTATGCAAGAATAAATTTCAGAAATAGACCAAGATATAAAATAGTCCAAAAGTTATATAGAACTTATAAGAATCCACAAATAGTTAATTCCATTACGCGATTGAAGTGAAAATATTTTTAACACATAAAAACTAACTTGACATGTTTTGAAATATTTTTAATTTTTTTTATTAGTCAAGTTTACTGGGAACCACTTATGGCAAGATTTTAGTATGCAGTTGTTATACTCCTGCTTTAAAAAAGTTAAGGGATACGTGTTGTTTTCAATTTTTTTTCCCTCTCTCTGTCTGTCGGTCATTCCCATGAATATGTTTTCCTTGAATTTTCTCAGGAACTGCTTTACAACTGCAAGGATTTCTGAAATTTGGTTTCAGGGTTATATGAGTCAGCTATACCATGTGATGTGTTGTTAGATTCATAAGCCAAAAATTCCCATCTACCAAACACTTGCATCATTTCAAGTTATTACATGACATCCAAGTTGAAAATTTTCATCACAATTTTCAGTAACTACATTACAAAGATTTCTGAAATTTGGTTGATATGAGTCAGCTTTACCGTGTGCTGCGTTTTCAAATTAATCACTCAACAACTTCCTGTTCACTGAACACTTACATATTTTTACACTATTAACATTTTCCAGTAGCTCACAGTTTCACTTGTTTTAACTTTGGGTTATCTCATCTTCACTGAGATGAAATGAAATGGCATATTGCACTTTTGGTCATGGTTCATTGACTTTAAATATTTTGCAGAAGTATTGCTACATTAATTTCAACATTTGGATTACTTTTAATGTCATATCAACATTTTTATTTATTTATTTGGAAAACTTGGTATTACCACACTTTTCTCTTGAATAAGTAAGTGTTGTGTATAGATACCTAGAAGTAAAACATACTATGGAAGGCCACTCTTTTCTACATTGTAAATGAATAATTTGAAATGACAGTTTTATAAATGTTCACCTATAAACTTGAATGATATTGTTCAAGGGTTTTTACATCACATGGCTGATTCAGATGCTGTTTTAAGAGCAGAATCAGGAATGTCCTTAATTGAAGAAGAAGAGGTGGAGACAAAGCCAGAACAGTTGATCAGTTATACTGATGTGTTGTTGTGTCCAGAAACACAAACTGCAGCAGAGCCATACTTTAGTACAGATGCATGGCAGCTTGTTTTAAATACTCTCAAAGTATAAGAAGGTAATCAGTCTGAATATCTATAATATGGCATTGACACATTCCCTTGGAACTGATTTTTCAAATGATATAAAAGGTTTAATCTAAATGGTTGAAAATATATTGAAAGGTACAGAAAGGTAGTAAAAAAACCCACCATAAAGCAAAGAACATTGGAAAAAAATTCAAAATAATATCAACCAAGATATTAAACAGACCTATGTTTCTGGGATCTCCTTTACTTAAGCATGTTTAGCTCTTGAGAATATCATGTCACATGTGAAAAGGAAGCATTGATTTTCATAGGAAAAACATTTAATAGCAAATATCAGAGCATGATGCAGATATTCACAGTTTCAAAACTTATTTGAATGACTAGGTTTTTTTTTAAATGATTTTATACTATAGTGTTATTTTTAAAAAGAACCTTCAATTATTAGATTATTTTCATTACTTTTTTATGTTTTAGATATGTATATTGTTAACACTCAGAAGAAATATGATATGATTTCTCCATCTTGGACAAGAAAAGGCAAAGCTTTAATAGGATCAGCTAAAGGTTGGTCATTAAAAAAATCATTTTGAAAAGAAATATATATATAAGGACATGATGTGTTAACGTTATAGTCAATGAGACAACCATTCAGAAAAGCCCATTAAACAAGTTTTAAACAAACAGACCATTGTACGGTCTTCAACAATAAGACAATAAGAAAAACCTATGCCTTCTTGAGTATTCAAAGTTTAAGAGACCTCAACAATAAAAATATTGGTATTCTATTTGTCAAGAACAAATTAGAAACCTTTTCATCAAATCAATGACGTGACTATAAAAACAACCATACGAGTTATCTCATTCTGATTAGATATACTGTAAATTCAGAAATTATTGCGATGTTTTTATTATTGCGAAAAATGCGACCGGGTTATAATCGCAATAATTAAAACTCGCATTTTGAAATTTTCTATATGAGTTAAACAGGATTTTTCTCAATATCGCAAAAAATTAAAATCGCATTTTAGTCTAAAATGACAAAATCGCAATAATAAATGCACGCAATAATTTCTGAATTTACAGTAGCATGTTCTGAAGGGCTATTTTGCCAATGAAAAAAGAAAGATATTTTTCGCTTGAAACCCTGCTGATATTTCTGCTTAATAACACATAACATTAATACAGATGGGAAAGTGAAACATTTGCTATTGATTTCAATTGTTCTTTCTCTTCAAGGCATTACTAAAAAAAAAGTCACAATTAATAAAGCAAGCTATTGATTAAGCATCATTGTGAAGTGGGAAAAGAAGTATAATTTGAGCAAATACCATGGTTGAGATAGTGAACCATGATTTAGCATGTTACTAAGACAATTAGTATATTCTAATTCCATTTAAAGAATGTCATTGTGTTTAAAATATGACCAAGCTTTGGCTTTGTCTGAATCCGTGAACCAGTTTTGATGGTCAACAATAGTTATTATATATGATATAAATTGCAAATTCATGTATGATTCTTGTTCTTTGTAGCATTAAAAAAAATATTTAAAAATTTCACTTTGTAAACTTTATTATTGAATTCAGGATCAAACAGTTTATAAATTTATTGTAGGAAGAATATTTAAAAAGTGTTCAAAAAAGAAATCAGACCAGATTGATTCAGGTAATTAATTCTTTCAAGAAGAAAAAAAAAGGAAAAATCAAATACTTAACTGTCCTTCGTTGGTTGAAAGGTCATTTTGGGTATTACCATTTATTTGGTGTCAATCATATGTAATTAAAAACCTGCTCTTAAGAGCCTCAAGTTTTATATATTGTTGATTTTACGTTTTTGATTTATGGGAATTTATTCATAAAAATTTGAGAGAATTCTGATTAAAACTCAAAAATGCTTTGAGGGATTTCCATGAAACTTTGGTGAGCGGTGGTGTAGTGGTGAGTGCATCGGACTACTATCACAAAGTTTCCTGGTTCAATTCCCAGTTGGGATGAAAATTTCAGGAACTGAATTGTCAGATCTCCCTTGACACCATTTGCGAGTATGGTCTTGAGAAAACGATGATAGTCCGTTGGAAGGGGACAATAAATGGCTGACCGGTGTTAAGAGAGAGCCATAGCTCTTGCATGTAAGAGACACCCTTGGAGATTTCGAAACAGAGCAGCACTTGTACCCGCAAAGTGGAAAGAAATTAATATAAGTTGCAAAACTTGATTCCCAATCCACTATAAATAAATATGTGTAAACTAAACTTTGGTGAGTTGTTTATTTGCATTGACATACCTTCCCTTTTTCTTATTTTAAATTTTGTTGATCTTATGTTTAAAAGGAGTATTGGGATTTTATTTATAAAATAGGAGGGATTTTCAAGTTTTCTAACTCTTACACAAAACACTTTGAGCAGTTTTCCTGGTGACTTGATTACATGTATAACCACCCTTTTTTCAATATAAATATCATATGAAATGGATACCACTGTGTTTTCATGTCTCACAATTTACCATGTTGGGGGCCGAAGTCTATTTAAGCAGTGCTCAAAGTATTTCTAGCGGATCATTTCATTAAAGCATAATGATAATGAAGAGCTGAAAGGGTGGTGAGGTGTATATCATGCCCTCATGGCCCAGCTCTTTGATAATTGTATCTGACAGACATCCACTGCCTGTTTGCAGATACTTTGAATATTTCAGTTTGATGTTTGAACTTCAATGTTTTTATTACTTATTTCTCCAGTACAGCGAAATAAAACTCATTCATCTAGTTCAAGCGCATTTTCATGTTGTCAACTACTTTGAATAATGAGTGGGTTATGCTTAGCAAAATATGGGATAAAGTTTCACTTTCTAAATTTCTAGCAATATATTTACACAGTCAGTATTGTACACAAAAGCTTACCATGAATGAGCATAGTATTTGATACAACCAATACTTTTTAAAAGGATCAACAAGTCATTAGCAGGTCATGTGTTTAATTTGTTGTTGGGTAAGGTTAATTTTATTTTACTTGTGTTAGAATATTTGGGTCACAATGAGCTACAATTATTAGATGTGCTAGCTAAGTCAAGTTACATCTGAAGTATTTGGTGATAAGATACTTATTTTTAGAATATATTGTATTACAATTGAGCCCCTAATGTAATGGTGTGACTAGTCAGTTTCTTCAGCACAGTCGCATTTAACCCTTAATAATTGATTACTTTATAGGAAAAAGAAATGTATATTCCTTCACAAGTGAAGACAGTTCTCCACTAAAAGCAATGGAAGGTGAGTGAGTAAAAAAATGTTATATTCAAATTAACTTTATTTTAGAAAAAAACAATATTTAGCTCACCTTACTCATAGGGACAATGTAAGTTGAAACTATGACTTATTCTTATATCCATATAAATGGCTGTCCTTAAGACCAAAGAATTGTTAAACCATTTGGAAACCTGAAGCCTAATTTTTTTCTGTAGTTGTCTTGTTTCATAATAATTTATAGGTAATGAAGATTAAAGTTATGACCTATTTGTAGGAAAAACAGAAAAAAAATCCTCAACAAGTGACGACAGATCTCCATTAAAAGCAACAGATGGTAGGTATATTTTCTTATTTCAGTATGTATATATACAGCGTTATGTTGTCCTAGATATAACTATGTGTCTAGCCTACTTCAAAGAAAAAGAATTAATGTGACAAATTTTTTTCTGGGCTTTTAATGAAAATACATAGAAACCATATATTTTCAGTATCAGGGTAAGATTAACTGTTTTTTGACACCTTCATTGTCTACTTTTCACCTTTCTTATGTTTCTTTTCAACTAATACCACTTGTAATTAAGAATGTAAAGACCTATATAAGTCTCTGAACAATTGGTTAAGATTGTTATTTTATTCAAAGTAAAATTGAGAATGGAAATAGGGAATGTGTCAAACAGACAAAAATATGACCGAAGAGCAGAAAACAGCCAAAGGCCACAATTGGTCTTCAATACAGCTGGGCCCTAAAAAAAATGTGTACTAGTCTAGTGATAACTGATGTCAATCTAAACTCTGAAATATATTAATGAACTAAACTTAAAAATCAATCAAGATGAACAAAGGCCAGAGGCTTCTAACTTAGGACAGGTGCAAAAATGGGATTGGTTAAACATGTTATTTTGAGATATCCCCTATGCCTCTTGCCAATACAGAAAATACAAACACACAGCAATATGCACAGTAAAAGAATAGGTAACAAAAGAAACTAAAAAAATGACAATGGTACATAAATTAACAAAGTAATACTAGCATTTACTGACAGGCCAGCTCAAAACTTGGATTAAACTGACTGAAAGTTAATGTCTTCATCATATGAATATCAATCTCAATTCCTCCTGTTAGTGATTAAGTATCATTACATCATAAAATATATGAGAAGTACATAACCCCGTCTCTTGCAATGACCCCCATTAGTGAATCAATATTAAAGCTAAAATTTGCCATCTTTAATAACATGAAAACAGAATCGTAAATATATCCCTTTTTTAATAGGTCTTTTTAAAGATTTTGAGTTGAAAGCTGACATTTTGTTGCGTTTGTAAATAATTTAACCGTATTGGATTTGAAACACTAGAAAGTATACGAAGTCTGCATGCTGATTTCTATTTATAAATGATGACTTTGTACTTATGATAAGATTTAGTAAATGTTTTGACTAGTTTATGATATCTAAAACCCTTGTGTAATTATTTTTCAGTAATACATAGATTTCTTTCGCTAAAATCTAGTACATTGTTACATACACAAGCGAAATTGTAAAAGTTGAAATATAAACACCATAAGATGGTGAAAAAGGAATGTCACCATCTAAAAATGGATAATTAACCATATGAAATGTTTACTTTTTCAGATTTAAATGATGCTATAGATGTGTGCCCAATTTTAGAAAAGACCAGTGAAATTACTGGAGACGGTGAAAAGATAAGTGAAACTACTGGACAAGGTGAAAAGATTAGTGAAACTACTGGACAAGGTGAAAAGATTAGTGAAACTACTGGACAAGGTGAAAAGATTAGTGAAACTACTGGACAATGTGAAAAGATTAGTGAAATTACTGGAGATAGTGAAAAGATAGGTGAAACTACTGGACAAGGTGGAAAGATTAGTGAAACTACTGAAAATGGTAAATATTCTGAAGTTTTTACAATATCAAATCAGTCAAAGGTTGTATTGGTGACTGTGGCTTCTCTTCAAATTTTTGAGATGGCCACCATATACTTAAAATTGGAAGATTGTGTAAGGCTGAAGGTTTTATAATATCTCTTAGTATTTAATACAATGGACCCAATAGAGATTGTTTGCATCTCACTGATTTTTACTTTACCATAGGGCAGATGTTTTATGAATGTGATAGTTTAGTTTCCTTATGCAACAATCTTTCTCAGGTGCTTTGCTGTTATTTTGATAGATATTTTTGAAATGAATGATAACTGATTAAACAGATTTAAGGTGTGTGAAAACAAATTTCAGCTTCATAATGCAAAATTTAAAGAAGTTGAAATAATGACAAAATTGATAATGGAAATTGGGAATGTGTAAAAAAGCAATAATCCAACCAAAGAGCAGAAACATCTGAAGACCCCCTTTGGGTCTTCAACACAGAGAGAAAATCCAACACCTTTAGCTGGCAACTTATAAAAAATGTGTACTAGTGCAGTGAAAATTGACGCCACACTATTATTATCCAAAACATATAAAAGAACTAAACAAATAAGTGTCCCAGGTTAGGTGAGGGTTGAGATTCCCCTAACTGGGTATTAGGGGAATAGAAATTTGTTGTACCCTGAGATAAAGCTGAGGGTAATAGTTGTATCTAAGAGGACAATAAACTTATTTTTCCACAAATATCCATTCAGTAAGACTTTTATTATACTGAAAGAAACAACATACACAAAATAATGCCAGGGACTGAAGGGCATAGTTGACCATAATTCATTTATACAAATGTAAGAGACAGCATACACATTGTGATGACACCTTGTCTATCTCTTCTAAGGTATTGGAATGCTGTCTTTTCTTTTAAGGTAATCAGAAATAATTTTTTGTCAGTTTGAATGACTGAATTTGTGTTTTTGGCATCCTAATGCAGATCAAAGTGAAAGATCCAAAATATATTTTATATGCCTTGGACAATATATTTGTTTCATTAAAAACAAGTTGTTGTTTTGAACTGTACTTGGATAATCTAAGTATAAGTTGATCTGAATATATGATATAGTTTCCAAGTATTTACAAAGTAAGAAAAGTTATCTGTTCCTGATATGTCATGTGATTTAAGCAATATAAAAGTTTTTTTGCTAATATAATAAATTTATCTTTCTAGGAAGAAAAAGAACAAGTTGTTCTTCAAAAAATGAAAAAGTGGATGCAACAGAATCCAAGAAGTGCACAGTAAGACTGACTGATATTGGTACTATTAAAAACTTGAAAACATATGTTGATAAGACAGAGAAAAAAAGAAAAAGAAAAAAGATATGTCTAAAGAACTTGTAAAATAATATATGTAATATGTTAAGTTTTAAATAAGTTCATCTGATATGAAACAACAAATTCAGGATACTTTGTGTCATATTTCAAATAAGTTGAATGGATATCTACTTTTATGATAAAACTATAATATTTCAAAAAGTTGTAAATATTTTTTTGTCT